CTGGCCCGTGCCTGTCCTGCTCCCAGGCCTCCCACCCCTGCGGGTCGCTCCATCCTGGGTTGCCATCTGTCCCTTGATACCCAGAAAGAAGAGGATCCCTAGCCCTCTGTGCTGGGAGGAGTGGTGGGCAGGGCGTGCGCAGTATGAGAGAAGCTGACGCCCAGAGGTGGCACTGACTGGGGGCCAGCTGCCCTGGGATGCCACAACAGTTGTCATGGCAACCGGTGTCAGAAGCGGGAGACCCTGATTACCAGCGGCTTCATGCAACAGGGTGATTGCAGCCCCCGTCACACAGGGGTGTGTTCTCCGGTGGGCAGGCCCATGCCGCATCCCCTGCTGCACTTCCAGACTCGAGGGCTGCTCCCTGGGCAGTGGGATGTGGGCTTCACCCCAGGCAACTGGGGAGGGTCCCTTCCTGCCCTGGCGGCTGCACCTGCTGCGTTCTGGAAGGAACGGACGAGCCAGGGTCCAGCTGGGCAGTGGCAGAGTGCACCCTGCTCAAGCCAGAATTCCCGAATCCCTCTCTGCTCTGTGTTTCCAGCTGGGATTCCGGTACCTAACAGTCAGGTGGACCTTACACTTTCCCGAGTCTTCCATTTGCCCCCAGAGCAGCCACAGTTGCTTCCCTGTGGCTCCCGCCTCTCACCACGGCGCCCGTGGAGCAGTCTTGCTGAGCGTGCACCAGGCTGTGTGCTGGCGTCATAGACAGTGGTCAGGTAAGGGCCCAGTTCCCTAGGGCAGAGCCCAGGCTCCTCTGGAATCAAGTCCTGTCCACGTCGTCCTTGTCCCTAGTGTCCGTCTCCCGCTGTGCTTCTGGTGCTGTGCTCACCACACCCGTGCCACAGACGCACCTGCAGCCCCCCGTGCGTGCCACATGGGTCCTCTCTGTGCCCTTGAGCAGAATACAGTCCCCCCCGCCTACCCACCTGGTGAACTCCAGTTAGCACTTGCTTTTCTCTCAGGCTTTGCTTCCTCCAAACATTAGGCACGCAAAGCGGAGTCCTGCTCCGGTTCTGTGGACACAGCACAGGGACCCCTGCCTCTCAGGGTTCTTGGAGATTCATCTGCACGTAGCCAACAAACTCGGCTCCATCTCTGCCCCTTGGGGTCAGCACCTGAGGCAGCTGTTGCTATGTGCCTGCTGTGCGAAGATGGATCACTGCGTTCTATACTTTTATACCCCAGAACGCTGCAGATGTAGTTTACATGTGTAGGACAGGGCATACATACCTGCAGATGTATGTGTGACAGGTCATGAGTGTGCAAATGTGGCTTCTGTGGGATGGGTCACGTGTGTGTACCAATGTAGTTTACATGGTGGGACAGGCCATGCATGTCTGTAAATGTAATTGTGTGTGGCAGGTCATGTGTGTGCAGATGTAGTTTACATGTGTGGGATAGGTCATGTATGTGGGACCCCATGGTTGCTTTTCCTTTTCTGGAATTTGCAGTTGTCTCCACACCTCTTCCCTCTCCACATACGTGTGACAAGTGGCAGCCCCAGTCCACGTCCCTCCCACGTCCCTCCCACGTCTCACCCCGACTCTCCCACGTCTCCTCTCTCCCCCTCTCCCACCCTCCCACGTCTCTCCCACGTCCCTCCACGTCCCTCCCACGTCCCTCCACGTCCTCCCACGTCCCTCCCACGTCCCTCCACGTCCCTCCCACGTCCTCCCACGTCCCTCCCCCCTCCCCCGTCTCTCCCACGTCTCTCCCACGTCTCTCTGTCTCTCCCACGTCTCTCCACGTCCCCTCCCACGTCCCCCACGTCCCTCCCACGTCCCTCCCACGTCTCTCCCACGTCTCTCCCTCTCACCCACGTCTCTCCCACGTCCCTCCCACGTCCCTCCCACGTCCCTCCCACGTCTCTCCCACGTCCCTCCCACGTCCCTCCCACGTCTCTCCCACGTCTCTCCCACGTCCCTCCCACGTCTCTCCCACGTCCCCTCCCACGTCTCTCCCACGTCTCTCCCACGTCCCTCCCACGTCCCTCCCACGTCCCTCCCACGTCTCTCCCACGTCCCTCCCACGTCTCTCCCACGTCTCTCCCACGTCCCTCCCACGTCTCTCCCACGTCTCTCCCACGTCCCTCCCACGTCTCTCCCACGTCTCCCCACGTCTCTCCATCTCTCCCACGTCTCTCCACGTCCTCCCCCTCTCCCACGTCCTCTCCATCTCTCCCTCTCTCCCACGTCCTCTCCCACGTCTCTCCCACGTCTCTCCCACGTCCCTCCCACGTCCCTCCCACGTCTCTCCCACGTCCCTCCCACGTCCCTCCCACGTCCCTCCCACGTCCCTCCCACGTCTCTCCCACGTCTCTCCCACGTCTCTCCATCTCTCCCACGTCTCTCCCACGTCCCTCCCACGTCCCTCCCACGTCTCTCCCACGTCCCTCCCACGTCTCTCCCACTCTCTCCACGTCCCCTCCACGTCTCTCCCACGTCCCTCCCTCCCTCGTCACTCTCCACGTCTCTCCATCTCTCCCACGTCTCTCCCACGCTCTCTCCCTCCCCACGTCTCTCCCACGTCTCTCCACGCCCCTCTCCCACGCCTCCCACGTCCCTCCCACGTCTCTCCCACGTCTCTCCCACGTCTCTCCCACGTCCCTCCCACGTCCTCCCACGTCCCTCCCACGTCTCTCCCACGTCTCTCCCACGTCCCTCCCACGACTCTCCCACGTCTCTCCCACGTCTCTCCCACGTCTCTCCGTGTGTCCCAGCACCCGGCTCTTGTCAGGTCCATCCAGAAGCTCCTCCTCCTGCCTCTGTGCCCGTCTCTTTGGTTCTGGCATCCGGCCCTCCTCCCACTGCCACCTGGGGACCCCCTCAGCCTTTCTCACATCTCAGATCCTGTGTCCTGCTCCCCTCTTTCCTGGTTCACACCCTCTTTTTGTTGGAGCGCTTCCTTCAGTGGCTTTCTGATAAAGTACATTATTGGTAGATTTTCTGAGATGTAATCTTTCAAAAAGAATCTGCATTCGGTCTAATTTTTATTTGAAACTTTGGGAAGGTGCGGAAGTACCAGCAGGAGTTGGTTTTCTCCAGCATCTTGAGGGTGTCTTTCTGCTGTTGTCTGCCTTCCCTGCGGCTGTGGCTGTGGCTGTGGCTGTGGCTGTGGCTGTGGCTGTGGCTGTGGCTGAGGCTGGTGTCCAGTCCCCGGGTGTGAGCCGACTCCTGCTCTGTGCTGAGGCTCCGTCCTGTGAGTGTCCCATCCATGCAGATTCTCCCGCGGTGCTGGGCATCTGTGGGCTGTGAGTGTCCCGTGCGTGCACTGTCCCGCGGTGCTGGGCGTCTGTGGGCTGTGAGTGTCCCGTGCGTGCACTGTCCCGCGGTGCTGGGCGTCTGTGGGCTGTGAGTGTCCCGTGCGTGCACTGTCCCGCGGTGCTGGGCGTCTGTGGGCTGTGAGTGTCCCGTGCGTGCACTGTCCCGCGGTGCTGGGCGTCTGTGGGCTGTGAGTGTCCCGTGCGTGCACTGTCCCGCGGTGCTGGGCGTCTGTGGGCTGTGAGTGTCCCGTGCGTGCACTGTCCCGCGGTGCTGGGCGTCTGTGGGCTGTGAGTGTCCCGTGCGTGCACTGTCCCGCGGTGCTGGGCGTCTGTGGGCTGTGAGTGTCCCGCCCGTGCACTCTTCCACGGTTCTGGGCGTCTGTGGGCTGTGAGTGTCCTGTCTGTGCACTGTCCCGCGGTGCTGGGCGTCTGTGGGCTGTGAGTGTCCCGCCCGTGCACTCTTCCATGGTGCTGGGCGTCTGTGGGCTGTGAGTGTCCCGTCTGTGCACTGTCCCGTGGTGCTGGGCGTCTGTGGGCTGTGAGTGTCCCGCCCGTGCACTGTCCCGCGGTGCTAGGCGTCTGTGGGCTGTGAGTGTCCCGTCTGTGCACTGTCCTGCGGTGCTGGGCGTCTGTGGGCTGTGAGTGTCCCGTCTGTGCACTGTCCTGCGGTGCTGGGCGTCTGTGGGCTGTGAGTGTCCCGTGCGTGCACTGTCCCGCGGTGCTGGGCGTCTGTGGGCTGTGAGTGTCCCGTGCGTGCACTGTCCCGCGGTGCTGGGTGTCTGTGGGCTGTGAGTGTCCCGCCCGTGCACTCTTCCACGGTTCTGGGCGTCTGTGGGCTGTGAGTGTCCTGTCTGTGCACTGTCCCGCGGTGCTGGGCGTCTGTGGGCTGTGAGTGTCCCGCCCGTGGCACTCTTCCACGGTTCTGGGCGTCTGTGGGCTGTGAGTGTCCCGTCTGTGCACTGTCCCGTGGTGCTGGGCGTCTGTGGGCTGTGAGTGTCCCGCCCGTGCACTGTCCCACGGTGCTAGGCGTCTGTGGGCTGGAGTGTCCCGCCTGTGCACTGTCCTGTGGTGCTGGGCGTCTGTGGGCTGTGAGTGTCCCGTCTGTGCACTGTCCTGCGGTGCTGGGCGTCTGTGGGCTGTGAGTGTCCCGCCCGTGCACTGTCCCGTGGTGCTGGGCGTCTGTGGGCTGTGAGTGTCCCGCCCGTGCACTGTCCCGTGGTGCTGGGCGTCTGTGGGCTGTGAGTGTCCCGTCTGTGCACTGTCCTGCGGTGCTGGGCATCTGTGGGCTGTGAGTGTCCCGTCTGTGCACTGTCCTGCGGTGCTGGGCGTCTGTGGGCTGTGAGTGTCCCGTCTGTGCACTGTCCTGGCGGTGCTGGGCGTCTGTGGGCTGTGAGTGTCCCGCCCGTGCACTGTCCCGTGGTGCTGGGGCATCTGTGGGCTGTGAGTGTCCCGTCTGTGCAATGTCCTGCGGTGCTGGGCGTCTGTGGGCTGTGAGTGTCCCGTCTGTGCACTGTCCCCGCGGTGCTGGCATCTGTGGGCTGTGAGTGTCCCGTCTTGCACTGTCCTGCGGTGCTGGCGTCTGTGGGCTGTGAGTGTCCTCTGTGCACTGTCCTGCGGTGCTGGGCGTCTGTGGGCTGTGAGTGTCCCGCCCGTGCACTGTCCCGTGGTGCTGGGCGTCTGTGGCTGTGAGTGTCCCGCCCGTGCACTGTCCCGCGGTGCTGGGCATCTGTGGCTGTGAGTGTCCCGCCTGTGCACTGTCCCGCGGTGCTGGGCGTCTGTGGGCTGTGAGTGTCCCGTCTGTGCACTGTCCCGCGGTGCTGGGCGTCTGTGGGCTGTGAGTGTCCCGTCTGTGCACTGTCCTGCGGTGCTGGGCGTCTGTGGGCTGTGAGTGTCCCGCCCATGCACTGTCCCGTGGTGCTGGGCGTCTGTGGGCTGTGAGTGTCCCGCCCGTGCACTGTCCCGCGGTGCTGGGCGTCTGTGGGCTGTGAGTGTCCCGTCTGTGCACTGTCCTGCGGTGCTGGGCGTCTGTGGGCTGTGAGTGTCCCGCCCGTGCACTGTCCTGCGGTGCTGGGCGTCTGTGGGCTGTGAGTGTCCCGCCCGTGCACTGTCCCGCGGTGCTGGGCGTCTGTGGGCTGTGAGTGTCCCGTGCGTGCACTGTCCCGCGGTGCTGGGCTTCTGTGGGCTGCAGGTCTGGAGCTGTTTTGTGGGTGACTCCTCCTCCCTGTTGAGTCTGCTAGCTGCAGCTCTGTTCTTATTTGGACACCGACCCTGCTCCCTAAATGCCTTTTTTGTTGTCTGCCTTCTCATTTTCTCCCCGAACTCCTGTTTCTGTTTGTTTCTGCTCTGACTTCTGGGAAGCCTTGTCCCACTCTGTCTCCAGTCTCAGTACTGAGACGTCACGCGCTGAATCTCGGGTTTGTTCTCTGCCTGATCCCGATCCTTTTTATAGACTTCTGTTCTTGTTTCTTGCTCGGGCGGTGTCTCTCGTCTCTGCTAAGGTTTCTTTTTTTTTTTAGACAGGAAGAGTGAACAGTGAGAGAGAGAGAGACACAAAGGTCTTCCTTTTGCCGTTGGTTCACCCTCCAATGGCCACTGCGGCCAACGAAGCCAGGAGCCAGGTGCTTCTCCTGGTCTCCCATGCGGGTGCAGGGCCCAAGGACCTGGGCCATCCTCCACTGCACTCCCAGGCCACAGCAGAGAGCTGGCCTGGAAGAGGGGCAACCGGGACAGAATCCGGTGTGCCGGCACCGCAAGGCAGAGGATTAGCCTAGTGCGCCGCGGCGCCGGCCTCTGCTAAGGTATTAACAATGGTCCTGCAAAGCTTGCTTCTCCTCGTGTGCCCTCTCTTCACCCCAGCCGGTCTTTCCCTGCTTGCTCGATTGGCTCTGTCTCTGGGGTTCCTCTGCCCGCTGCACACGGAGCTTTGCCCCTGGGTTGGGAGGAGGCTCTGAGAGGACCGAGGCGGGCACCCAGTCCAGAGGCTCTCGTTGGGCCTCTTGTCTTGATCGCGTCACAGGGCCCAAGGCCTGGCTGCAGCATGTGGGGCCTGGCAGCTCCTGCCACGACAAGGCGGAGGGGACAGGCTCCTCCTGCACCCTCTCCAGGGCTGGCCGAGGACAGGCCTCACTCCCCACGGCCCCAGCGGGACAGACTTCTGGTGCTCCGCCTCCTTGGACTCCCCCGACCCCCAGGTCTCTGGGTGCCTGTGCCAGTAGCCGCCGCGGCGTGGGAGGCCCTGCCCTGCGTGCTCAGCCTTCCCAAGCCTTCAGTCGCTCAGTCTGCCGTCTGCTGTCCACACCCAGGTCATGTCGCTGCGCCCCCCTCCCCCCAGTCTTCAGGATAAGTGTGTGCTCTCCTCCTGCGGGGGGCACTTGGGGCTCGACGCACGCTGCCCACCACACAGCTCCCCTGGGCTCCGCCTGGCGGTGCCCCTCCCCCTCCTCCACAGGTACTGGAGAGATGACGGATGGATGGTACACACGTGCTGGTGCATGTACTGCATGTGCACGTTTACTTGTCATGCTTGTACACGTGTGCGCCTGCATACGTGTGGACCTGTGCGTGTGTGTGCTTCCAGTGAGAAGGACGTGCTCATGGTTAAGTAAATGCTGAAGAAGTGGATGGATGGATGGCAGATGGCTGCCCGGGTGGATGGATGGGATGGATGGATGGACGGACGAGTGGATGGTGAACAGGTGGGTAGATGATGGATGGATGATGGTAGGATTTAGGCTGGGTGAACAGGTGGATGGGTGGGTAGATGATGGGTGGATGTTGGATGGAGGGTGCTTTGGGGGGTGGTTGAATGGACAGATTGATGCTGAATTTGAACGAAGGTACGGGCTAGCTGAGGGACAGGTTGGAGAAGCCGGGTGAGGCCTCGGGGTTAGTGCATAAGTTGAGGCCCTGGGATTTGTGATGGTTGTGCTGCATGAGGTCTCTGCCCCCAAGGGTGCCGACGCCCACGGGCCTGGCATGAGGTCTCTGCCCCCAAGGGTGCCGACGCCCACGGGCCTGGCATGAGGTCTCTGCCCCCAAGGGTGCCGATGCCCACGGGCCTGGCACGCCCTGAGGGCAGGTGACCTCGGCCTGTGTCCACCACAGCTGATGACTCCGCACCTCTCTTCTATCCTAAAATGCTGAGTTTTCATCAGCAAGAGGGCTTCAAAAAAGGGATTGCATTTCCTAACCATTTCTGTTTTATTTCTGATATTTTTACTTTAGCCCCAAATTCACACTGTCTGGAAAAAAAAAAATCCCTGTGAGACTCTGGGCAGTTTTGAGCTAAAATTGCAGGTTTGAGCCAGCACACGCAGGCCTGCAGGGGAGGTGATGAGCTTAGTTCTCTTGTGGCCTTAGCACCTGGACAGAGGTCCTCCACAGGCCTCGCCTCAGAGGAAACCGGGCAACGTGAGAAGCGGTTGTCACCAGAGGGGTGAGGTGCAGCAGCACAATTGGTGTCCCTTATCACCGGCAGGGGTGAGGTGTGGCAGCACAGTTGGTGTCTCGTGGGCGGGGGTGGATTGCTGCCAGGCATTGTACAGTGCATAGGACAGCCCCCGACACCCATGCACACACGTGCGTGCACATGCAATGTACACATAAACACGCAAGCACATACATGGGACACACAAATGCACATGCTGGCACACATGCACGAGCGTGCTCGTGTGCATACATGCACGGCACATGTGCACAAATACACACAAACACCAGCACGCGTGCAGGCATGTGTGCCATCCATCCGTTATCTCTCCGGTCCCCAATCCTGCAGTACTGGTTACCGTGAGCGTGTCCTGCACACGGGGTGGGAGCTGTGGGGAAGGAGGCGGCTCAGCTGTGATTCCCACTGTGGCACACGCTCTCGCTCTCGCAAAGCTGAGACACGCAGATGTGCTTGCCTTACACCAGCACGCTACACCAGTGGATCAGCCGGCAAATACACGCCGTACGCATTGCTCACACAACCCCTCAGAACAAAAACTTCCTTCAGGTGTAACAAGACGGCACATGTGACGCGGGATCAAAGTTGACACATAATTAGCGCCCCGTGCTTTCAGAAGCAGCGTTAGTGTTTTGAAAGAGCTTACTTGTTATGCGCACACATGTACCTGTACACACACGCACATACACACACACACACGGGCCCCACACGTCGTGGAGCCGCTGGTGAGCAACCTGGTCTGATGCCGCAGGAATGCCCGTGGCCTGCAGGTCAGGCGTCCTGAAAGGATGGTGTTGAGGAGGAGGTCACAGGCAGAGCACCCGTCTCAGGAACCCCCCAGTGAGCCCCTTGCCCTCCCCCGCAGTGTCACCAGAGGTCTGGAGTCTGCTCATTTCCTCTCTATTACGAATTGGCTCCTCTGCGCCATCCCACAATCCAGCAAGAACAAGCAGAAACCTCCTTTGGCCAGCGTGAACCGTTCAGTTCACCAGGCGTGGAGCAGGGGAGCCGGGCGCAGGCATGCAGATCTTCGCCCCTGCGAGAGAGAGAGAGAGAGAGAGAGAGAGAGAGACAGAGACAGAGACAGAGACACACACACACACACAGAGACACAGAGAAGCCGGGGGATTCTGAAGGCAGTCCGGGGAAACTGGACTCCCTGCCTAGCAGACTCTGCCCGCACATCCCAGACAAGGCACCGCTTTGCAGACAAAGCCCGAGAGTAACTCACCGTCCACGACTTGGCGTGGAATTCTCGCGTCCTAAACAGGGAGGAAAAATGCCCGAAGTTTACCAAAAACGGAAAGTGGTGGGTAGCAGTGGGTGGCGTGGGGAGGGGGGAGGGCCTCGGGAGCAGGGGAGGGAGGAGGGGCTGCGCGCTAATTGGCTTTTTAATGATTCCTCTTTCTTTCTTCTGGCCTTTTCTTTCTTCTTCCTCCTCTTTTTTTTTTTTTTCCTGAGGGGAAAAAGAAAACCTTAAAACAGAAAGGTTAATCTAAGTATACATTTTCAGCTTTTAAAGGCACCATTACAGGACTGATTATGCTAAAAGAAGCGCACCTAGCCCAGCACAGCTGGGTAATGGCTCACTTAAAACCCCTGGTCAGGGTGTGCTCCTGTGATTTCCATGTAAATTGGATCCTCACAATTACTGTAATATGTGTGAAATTCCACTTATTGTTTCTCTTAACATGGAAACTTGTATCACTTAACTCACTGGACGCAATATTTGAACCATTTGCGATCATTAGTGCATTGTTGTTTGGTCAAACCCTTATGGGATTATACCTCAGAAAAGACAGAGGGAATGATATTCACTGCGAGAAAACAGCAATTTTAAATATACGAGGGGCACCGGGAAACTTCCCGCTTTAGTGCGGCTCGGTACTGTAGCTCGCAGAACGAGCCTGTCACCTTCCCGGGACTCCTGAGCCCAGCATGAAGCAGGAGCAGGACACACAGCGGCCCCTGGGTCTGATAGAGAAGCAGGGGAGACGGGGTGTCGGGATTTCACTGCGGGAGTTTCTCCCTGTGGCCCTGGAGGAGCTGCGGGCTGTCCAGCAGGGACTGGTCACCCAGCCTCCCTCTCCGTCCCTGCCTGCCTGCCTGCCCAGCCAGGTGAGGCCCAGCCTGGCCCAGCCTGGCCCAGCCTCCTGCCCTCCCCGGGAGCTGGGTGCTCCCTGACCTGGCTGCTGCTGGCTGCTGGCTGCTCCTTTGAAGAACTCGGAATTCTTCCAGTGCTCAGAGGAAGAAAAACAAAAGGAACGCCGGGAGGCACCGTCCCCTCCCAGGACCAGGAGGGGCCCTGTCTGGGGCTGGGGCAGGAGGGGCGAGCTCCTGGGGCCACTCTGCAGCGCTGGGGTCCCGCGACGGCGTCGGCCTCCGCATGGACAAAGCACACGCAGGGTCATTTCTTAAGGCACGATGGGCGCCGCTGAATCCGGGCTTTGGCGACGGCTAATAGAAGGGCACGTCTACGTGATTGGGGCAGTTCGCTGCATTTGTTGTCGCGCCCGTTTAAAGTGAGTGTTTTCTGAGTGACACGATGTGTGGTGTTTCCCAGGTTTTGCTCTCCAAACTTTTAACAGAGACAAACCGGACACTTAATTCTCTGACGCGTGAGACAAGAATGGTCACCTCGCTTAGCTGTCAGCCGTGTCCCCTCGAGGCAGTGCTGGCATTCCCCAGGAAACTGCACGCAGAGTGGCTGTCGTCGCTCTGAGCGTCACGCTACTTCACGCTTCGATAGCCATCTCCTCAGACACACATAGGAAATTGAAACACGCCGGGAGATACAGAAGTCCGTAGCTGCACGCTTGTGTGTGGGAGACGGAGCGATAGAGACATGCACTCGGGGGGGTGGGGGAGAGACAGACCTGGGCCAGCCCAGCCTTGCCGCTGTCTGCGTCTGGAGTTGACTTGGACTTAGTTCTGGAACTGTGCGGACACGACAGTATCGACAGACGTGCAGGGAGCCTGTGGGAAGATTCCGCGTTCTGCATCCCACGTTCAGACGGCGGACTCAAGAACGGCAGCCGGGCGGGCAGGCACACACGCACACGCGTGCAGAGTGTCTGGGCAGCCCAGGTATCACGCACTCGGCATGTAGCTGGTGGAGTAAGATGCAGCAGTGTCACACGGCCGAGGTCCCGACACCGTGCAGGCTGCCACGCCGCGCAGCTGCTCAGAGAGGACCGGAGGAGCTGCCGGCCCGCTTCGCCGTGGATTCTTGAGCAGGCTATTTTAGAAATTCTAAATTGATAATGCATTCGTAGCTAAAGCACAGGAAACCCAGTGCATTTTTTATTTCTTTTTTTTTTTTTAGCTCACATATTTTCAAAGACCTCCTATCGTTAACATTATAATATAGTTAGTTGCTACAAATAATCGGGGCTGATTATAGGAAAACTGTCAGTGTCTGCTCAGGTCTGAAAAGGCTGCAGCAAATGGCTTTTCTCCTCGCCATGGAGACCGGGTCTGTTTTTACGGTTACTCTGGAAACCATGGCCCTTCTGTTGTGAGTCCTTTTCGGTTACTTTAGCTGTTAAACCCTCGGCTGAGACAAAAGCAAGGACGCACGCAGACACTTGCTCAGAAGGAAACTCCGGGCCGGGAGGAGCGGCTGTGGCTGCCAGCCCCTCGCGTTTTTATCAGGGGGGCGGGAGCCACCTCTGCCACCAGCTCGCCCCGCTGTGCCCCCTCCCGCCCAGCGGGCAGAGGCTGCACCCTCTGGCCCCGGCTGCCCCGCCAGGGAGGTGGAGCCTTCCCCTGCCAACACTGGATTCCAGGATCCCTGGAAACAAATGCTGGGGATGGTTTTATAATGCAAATGCCCCGCTGGAGAGACTGCTGGGCTGTTGTTTTAAGAAAGGGGAGTCCCCAGTCCTTAGGGTCATCTCCGTTGGAGCCCAGAGCCCCGTGCACTCAGGGGGTCGGTGCCCGGGGGCTTGGGGTGCAGGGGAGGCCCCTTTTCCAGCGCCTTCCTCGGAACACGGCTGTTTTCACTTACAAGGTGGTTCAGCATTTGGTTAACGTGCTCTCCTCTCAAAAAGGAAAATAAAAATGGAAGAAAGGAATTGGAATTTTGGAATTTTCTTTGGAAGAACCCACAGCCTGAACAGTCCCCAAGGAAGCTATCCGTCGGTCCCTCACCTGGGGGGACACTGCTGCCAGGGGCACAGCCCCCCCTTGCACGGTTAAACCCCCACCGCTGTCTTCCTCCGCCCTTCTGTTCTGAAGGGTCCACTCTGTGAGCAGAGTTAAAGCCAGAACACTTGGTAACCAAATGAATAACAACTGATATTTGTTAACAAGCAGCAGCCCTAGGAGGGGAGAATGAAAAAAAAGCCCTTTCTTTCCTCCTGCCCAGGGCCTTCCAGTGGGCTGAGTTGTTTGCCATTGAGATGCAAAGAAGTGAACTGGCCGGGCTGGGCAGGTGTGCTGCTCCCGCACAGGGCCTCTGCTGGGAGGCTGCTGGCCCTTTCCCGGGGGTTGCCTGCTGGGAGACCCTCACCCTCAGGGGAACAGGGCTGCGGCGGGGGTGGGGGGGAGGGGGGGTGTCCCGTCAGAAGGGAAGAGTGGTCACTTGATTTCTCCCGGAGTGAAAGTGGCGTGAGGGTGGGTGAAAGCTGACAAACCGTGAGGAAGCACGCTGTTCTGAGACTTCCAGTCCCAAGGATGTGCTGCAAGTGGGTTTCTAAGTCTCCCGGCTTTGGTTTGGCAAGAGTGCTGAAGCCATGGCACGCCACCAGGCCCGTCGGTGTCCCTGTCAGTGTCTGTGTCTGTCTTCTCGGTGGTTCACTCATCGGCTGTGTGCAGCATCTACTGTGCGCCAGGCCCTTCTGTCACCCCTGGGAAGTGTCCCCTGAGCAACCGGTGAACCCCTCTCTGCTGGCTGCCCTCCCCAGCGGTTAGTGGGTGCTGGCGCTGGTGACGGAGCTGCCTCCTCCAGGTGCACCTCCCTGACTCACACCAGACCCCTTGTGCATTCCCTCCCTTTTCTCAGCGGTCTCTGAGGCCAAGGCGCAGGAAGTCTCTCCAGCAGGGCGAGGGCGCCCTCCCAGTGCCTCCTCAGGTGGCCGCGTTTGCCCGTGCCAGGTGCAGATCAGAAGGGGAGCTGCAGCCTTGGGTGTTTGCCCACACGCCAGCCTCCCGAGCGATCCCTGTGTTTTGGACTTGTTGTCAAAACTGTCACTGAATTTTGGTTGCCTGTGGGTGCATTCGCGTTTTCTGTAATTTTGTCCTGAGTGACTCAGTGCTGCTCCAGAGATGCATCCAGATTCTTCGTTTGCATTTTTTTGGTGTTGTCTAAAGATGGTCATGCAATAGGTGTGTCCTCTGTGTAATGTCAGACACAGCTCTGGGGGTTTGTATATTAGAAGCTGCCATCCTTTATAAATTGCCACTGAAAAGTGAATTATGGCTCCTTTGAATCTAGCGTTTTCCACGCCATAGCTTGTCATGTGTCAGCCCGATGTCGCAAGGTCCCATCAGTTTCAACTTTCCGGTAAGCGCAGTCGCACGGATCCCCGCGCCCGTTGCCATGTTAGCCGTGTACAGCGAGCCCTGCTGAGACGCCCGTGCCCGGCAGTGCCCACGGTCACCCAGCTGAACCGCAAGCCTTCTCTGTTGTCTGCGAGACTGATGTGCTGGGTCCTGGGAGCACCTGTGTGGCCCTAGTGCCAGAGTGTTTCCCCAACTTACCGAAACCTCATTGCTCCTGTTTCACCTCCGCAGCCACACCGCACACCCTGAGGGCCAGGACCGCAACCTAGACGTCCTTGGACTCCTCGCACTCCCACCTGGCCTGGGTCGGGTCCCCTGCTGGAAGGGTTTTCTTTGGCCTGTGCTGGGTCCTCGGCCCCCACGGGGGTACATGGGCACCCTGTCTGGTCTAGAAGGTCAGACTCAGCACTCCACAGAGACTTGGGTCCTGTGAGCCGTGAACTTGAGACGGAGCCTCTGTTCTGCCGTGGCTGGGTGTGAGGGGCATGACTGGCAGGTAGCCTTGCAGCTGAACGCGCTCGGAGGGTGGCCTAGAGCCTTGC